CGCCTTCCAGCACGACCGCGACGCCGTTCAGGGCGAAGAACTTGGCTTCGCCGACCGCCATGCTCCAGTCGCCAGCGAGGACACCGCGGACAGAGAAGGCGTGAACGCACGCAGAGCTCAAGAAGGCGCCAATGACCTTTCCGATGTCGGCTGGTGAATCTGGGCCTTTCTTCAAGATTTTACGCTCCACCCACTCCCCTGGCCATATTCCGTAGACCAGGAACAGCCTCGCGAAGAGCCTGTGCCAGCCGAAACTCCAGAATTGTCGGACGCTGGTGATTTGCCACGGTCTTGTCGTGTACAGCGGAGGGAAAAAGGCGAGTGGGCATGGTGCGAGTGGATTGAGCATGATGGCAAAGAGGGAATGGCCGCATGAGAAGGCCGCCATGAGGAACGCTCCCAGTGCAGCCGTTAACAGCAGCTGGAGCCCTGTAGGCATGCGGTGGTCAAAGAGGTCATATGGGGAATACAAGTCCCAGGGCACGTCCTGCGTGGGTATTAGATATCGTACATAGATAGTTCTGATCACGGCCCAGCTGACGAGGAGAACCGGCATGACGTGGACAAATATACTGTGGAGGCGATTGTGGACGGTAGGGAGCCAGGTTTTGCGAGTATGTCGCACATCTGCGGTCGTCCAGGTGAAGCCTATGCCACGCATGGAGAGTTCGAGCTCAAGAGCCCACGCCGCACGGTCTAGAAGACTTATGGGCCATCCAATCTCGGTGGTCGCTGTCTCCAAGACCGGAACTGGATCTGGACCTGAGAAGGACCGACGGAGAGCGGACTTTACGACAGAGCTAGGAGGGATGGCAAAGGCTAGAACAGGCGTCTTCGGTGCTGATACATCGCCGCTACCTGCATCTTGAGAGATGTCCTCTTGTGAATCACCATCATGGTGGAAAGGATCAGTGACTCCGCCATTTGTCCATTCCTTCTCCTGGACTTCCGACACTGGGCTCCGAGAGCCCAAGCGCGGGCTGTGATGATATTTGACCCTCCGCGGAATGTGTCCAAAAAAGTATGGGCTTATGAAGAACGCATCCAAGACCCTGCATCCACCATACAGACCGACAAGGCCCAGTTGGTATGTCAAGCCAATGCTCTGCGGGACATGGTACACAAGAGGCAGACGAAAGAACAGCACCCCGGCGATCAGGGCGAGACAGTCCCGGAGCCTCCTGACAACCAGGCTGTCGATCGCGGGCGGCGGAGGAGGAGCGAGAAGGAGGAGTGCCAGGTAGTAGATCAGAGGTGGGAGGACAGCACCTGTAAAGGTGAGCGGTTTGGTGCCGGGGATCGGGTGAAGGCCGGGTCGAGGAGTCGGGTCTGACATTGTGTCGTGCAGTGACCGGAGCCACTGTAGTGGGTCGAAAGCCATTCTTTGTGAGTACGGCGGCCGACAAGCTGGAAGGGGAGCAGATTAGTCGAGCATTCCATCTCATACGAAATCACCTTTGAGCTTGCTTGTCTGCTCTGGATGGAATGTTGATGTACGTCATCAATGACACCGAGATGTTGAGGATCAGGTTGTTTGATTGTCTCGGTAATTGTATAAAATCATGAGGCTCCCAAAGTGAGATGGAGTATAATTCGACATCAGGTGGGAGAGCAGAAACTGCGCATATGCAAATCGTGCTGCAGTCTGGGTTATGAAGATGCTTCTCACTCCCAAATACGGTCACAGCTTTGTGGACGCCAAGACTCGGAAAAGACTGTGGTGATCTTTGCACGACAGCGGCTTGCGGACGAGCCGCGATTTGCGAAAGTGGTGAACTGTCGCAAACGCATTGTGGTTCTGGAAGCCCTACGTTCTCGATTGTGGTTCTTCAAGAAAGATAGGACATGCAGGAGCTTGGGAGACAGTGGTTGACAGGCAAGGCTGCGTTACCCAGGCAACTACTGGTGGCGAGGCCGCCAATTCACGTTCGGCCTTGTCTGGATGGAAACCTAACAAGTCACCCCAAGTGTTGAATCACTGCTAAACATCTATATGTCTCTATCCCAACCAACAAGGTACGTGGAGCAGACCTGTAGACTATTCCCAATCCATACTGTGATATCAGTTTCTGGACAAGCATTTCTCAACTCCCCAAGAAAGGAGAACACCTTCATGCGTCGAGAGTAAAAAGGTCCACCCAGTCTTTGAGCCACTCGTAGTGGACTTGTGGCCAGCGATTATCCAAATGCCTAATTCAATTCGAGACAGCCTGAACAGCGGGAAAGTAAAGACGGTGTCTAAACGACGACAATACAGCAACACCCCCCCGCATATCTGCTCCAATGTCATCCGCCATGCCCTCAGATGTTCTCGTTAAAAGATGGCACACCAAACAGGCACGTAGGATAGACACCCGAGGCATCGCTCTGCAAAAACCCATCAAAGTCGACGTTGGAGAAGTCCTTGCCCGACGCAGCACACTCCTGCGTATTGTCCGCGATGGCCTTGATCGAGAACCCAAATCGGCTTTGAAGGTCGCCCATGGCCCTTGGATGATCGATGGTCACGGCGGTAGGTACCGTCCCGCCACCCTCCGGGAGTCCGAATCGGCGACATTGGGAGCCGTCGGCGGACAGCGTGTCCTCGGGGTTGTTTTGACAAACTGTCACGAGACTGTCGACGATCTGTAACATTTGGATCTTGTTCATGGCCTCGGCCAGGAGGAAGGCGCGCAGGTTCTGCGCCATGATGGTCGCGTAGTCGGATTGACTGGGGACAGAGTTGAGCTGCACTCCGCCCAGGAGGATTTGGGCACCGGAATCGTCGGATTGGGCGTCCACGAAAACGGCATTCAGCTGTTCCATGATGGCGGCTTGGACGTTTGGGACGGCATTGTCGAGCAGGCCTTGCAGAATCTGAGGCTGGTCTTGCAAGGTCTGCGCGGCGTCCTCGGCATCCTGTTGGGCTTTGTCGACCACCTTTCCGGCCAACTTCTTGAATGTCTTCAGCACTGTTCTGATCGTGGCGACTTCGGCGCCGGCAGCTGGAATGGGTATGAATGAAAGGGACAGGTCTGCAAGCTTCAACAGGGTAGCTCGCGATATCGGGAGAGGCTCGGGGGATATGTCGTTGACCATCGCGGCGAGATAGCCCTCTGAAACCAACTGGTCGTGAGCATCCTGGATGCCAAAGAACATGTTCCTCAGGTTCTGGTACAAGTTGATCCAAGCCTGGGCGACGAAGCCAATTTGGGGGTTCGAAAAAGTGTCGCAGATATCGCCGCTTGCAGGGATCGCGCACGCCCCTGGATTGTTGAAGTCGGTACAAGCAAAGCCGGTGACTTGGTTCCCGCTGAACTGCGCGATGAATTGCTGGGGGAAATTTGCAGCTGCGATTTTCTGTGAGTAGGTCCGCTTGTGAACTACCATGTTGATTGATACACTTACATTGGCCGAAGCCGGCGGTGCCAGTCACCAAGGCATCCAGATTGTTGGCATTCCAGTTATCCGGTGTCAGGTCAGCAGCTGCACATCCCGTGACGAGTGTGGGAGTGTCGTCCTGTCGGACACTGAGTGCTCTCGATGAGACTGCGGAGGAGAAGAATGCGAGAAGAAGTGACGCTGTTGCGAGAACTGGTGCGGAATACATGACGAGAGTTTGTATGGTCGGGTGGAATAGAAGAGAGAAGGTAGGTAGGTATACAGGACACGCAACGGATCTCAGTACCCGTTATCGAATTGCTATGGACAGTAGAGCAGTATACACAGTGTCGCGTCGGAGCCTTCTTATATCACCGCTCCAGAGTCCAGACACTGTCCGCACCACTACTGACAACAATGCTATTTCTACGCCTCGTCCTCGCGTCCATGTCAGCCCTACGAAAAGTCTATCGACGGACATGGTACAGCCAGGTGTGTACTCGTCGACCAAACTACCACCGTTAATCGGACTTTCGGAGAAGATAATCATTGGTCACTGACTGACTCCTCCTTCGAGCTGAGGCGAAGCCTGATGGCTGATGGTGGGTGGAGATGGCGAGCTGCGAACTACTCGCAAGGCAAGACAGACCCTCCGGAGCCAGTGTGCAATGCTCCATCGTTCATCCAACGCTATGGCCGCCAAAATCCAGCAGTTGTCTCATTACAAAGATCACGAAGATCACACACAGACAGGCGCCGGAGGTGCAGGTGGCGGACGATCTGATCCGTGCGACCCACTTGGATCGTTGGATCGGTGGGTCTATTGTGACGATCGTTGGTGTTTCGTGTCAGCGTGTTTACATGACCTTATGTAAAAATGCCGCCGAAGCCCAATCCGGATAGCCTTCCTAAACCGGTAAGGAGAATACCATCTTTCCCTTCGGAATTTTAACTCGTGGTTACTTGTGTGAGTGTAACATCGTCCTCCGCGACACAAGTTTTATTTGCACTTCCTTTGTCGATTTTCTCATTCGAACGGCCGCATTCACCGCCGGTATCATGGTTCAGACAATTCGGGGGTTCCAGTTCGCCACGCGCGGATACAAGCATCTACTACTCCGGGCCAGGCGCTCTTCCACGCTCGATGATAGCGGAGATAATACTTATTATTTACCTGTTATTAGACCTACCATTGCCTTTGTGTGAATCAGAAACTCTCATTCGGGGGTGATTAATCGCCAAGTTTCTCTCTACCCTGGCAAAGGCGGTGGGTGGTCGAAGAGGCGAGCGAACTTGAGACCAATCTCTCGAGCGGTACTGAAACGCAACATTGGGTGCAGAAGAGGCGTTTGTTCCACACAGTTAAAAAGGATGGACACAGCCTGGTCGAGTATGTAAATGAGGCTCTTGTCGAGAATGGTTTTCATTCGGGCAATATTTGCTTTTCATAACAGGACATCTGAGATTCAACGAAGCGAAACAAGACACCTAGTGCTGACAAAGACGTGTCTATTAGACTTGGATTAACACTAGGCACTACTCACTATATACCATGGGGCGTCCGTGTCGAAAAATCTCCCTCCCCTTCCCCAAACATCTGTCCCTAAACCATCCTAGTCTACCTACCTGCCTGACCAAGATCAAGCAAACGAGATGCTGATATCGTCCAGCCCGATCGATTCGTTCTGGTTGTCCATAAAGACGTTGATCGAGACCGGGGAGAGGCCAGTTCCGGCGGTCCAGGTGAACGTGTAGGTGAGCTCCTGCCAATCGGCGGGACCGATATTGGAGAGGGTGAAATCCGTGCTGAAGCCGATGTTGGTGACGATCTGGACACGAACACTTGAGAAGCCGGCACACTGGGCTGCGCCATTGCAGTCGCCGATGGCCCAGAGCGAGATTGTGTAGTCGACTCCGTTGCAGAAGGTTGGCGACTGAGCGATGCGCGCTTCTGACGGCGACGTGCCCGTGTTGGTTACTTGGCTGGAGAGACAAAAAGAACGCAGAGCTTTTTAGCGCGAGATTCACAGCCACCCGAGAGCCTGGGATGTAATGGGAGTTAGGAGGATGGAGAGAGTAGTGAATACGTACAAATAGTTATTGCCGGAACGGGGGATGAAGATGCCCGTGCCTGCTTGTTCAACCTCGTCCACTAGCCCGGAAGTGAAGCCACTATAGACCCAGGGTGATATATTTGTATTGCTGGACTCGAATCCACCATTTTGCAGTGTTGGAATAGGACAATTCGGCGGAGGGGTCGTGGTAGTAGTTGTGGCGGTGGTGGTCGTTGTTGTCGTCGTGGTTGTAGTGGTTGTGGTGGTGATCGGAGTCGTAGGAGGAATGGTGGATGTGGTAGTCGTTGTTGTTGTCGTCGTAGTGGTTGTGCTTGGTGTGGTCGTAGTCGACAAAGTTGTAGGCGTTGTTGTGGGAACGGTTGAAGTTGTTGTCGTTAGTGAGGACGTCGAGACCGAGGACGAAGTAGAGGTTACGCCGGAAGTGGTAGTAGCAGTGCTTGCAGATGTGGTTGGGGATTTCGTGCTGGTCGTTGTCGGGCTATATAAGCTGCGTCAGTGAATCTGTCAAAACTTCTAAACCTCGCCAGCAGTAATGCCGACTAGGCTCGACATGTCGAAGAAGCAATGACATGCTGAGCCTAACCTGATGAGAGGGAAATGATGGGGGAACATACGGTGAGGTTGTTGTCGAAGAAATAGCGACAGTGGTAGTGGTTACCGGGATGCTAGGCCAACTCGGAAAGCTGGGCTGAGGCCATCCTGGTTGCCCTCCGCCCGGGGGCCCAGGCTGCGGGAAACCAGGAGATCCAGGCCAGTCTGGAGGATTACCACCGGGATATCCTGGTCCAGGATACCCAGGACCATCTCCCGGGCCTCCTGGACCGTCTCGGCCGGGGGGACCAGCTGGAGGACCGCCTGGGGGACCGCCTTGTCCGGGGAAACCAGGAGGACCTCCAAATCTATCAGGCAAGGCGAGAGCTTGGATGCCGAGAGCAAAGAGCGAAAGTGAAAGAACTTTGTAGGTGACCATAATGACGCTTTTCTGGAACGATATTACCGAAGCAGACTGTAACAGAGCGAGCGGAAAAGGTGGGGAATGGGAAGTTCAATGAGTGACACCACCAAGAAGGAACAGGACAAGCACAAATCAGGTCAGGAAAAGAGCGTGGGAAGAGAAATAACAGTAGTAGTAGTGGGCAGTCGAGGAACGGGATTCAAGTCCGTTATTATATCGCAGTCGTAGTCTGCAACGTGCGCGTGCTCGAAGGATGACGGTTAATCACCACAGCCTGCATCACACATGTGATTACTATCAAGTACTTACGAGTACGAGTATGGCGAGCGGCCTTTGTACTCGTAGGCGCCTAAAGAGGACTTGTCTTAGCATTTATTGTATCTAGAGCAGAGCCATCAACGCCTCCAGTATGGCTTAATTTCGATTCGCCTGGTGTTTGGCAGTCGTCGCTGACCTTCCAAAGAGCGATGCTCCCCAACTTGGACGTTGGGGTGGGTCGTTGTTGGGGACTATTCCTCGTACAGATGCGAGGCTGTTCTGGTGGGGCCGATCTAAGCTTTTCTGGACACTCAATCTCGCATCGCCTCCTTTTTTCTAGTCCCGCATTTGGTGATAGATATTAGGATTGCCAAGTTTTGTGGGGAGAAGGTTTTCTCAATCCCTGGACCTCCGTCGACTCATCCAAAGCGTCACAGCTCTCTGCCGTAGTTCAATGCTCTCAGCACGAATACTTCTTTCTTCCTACCCCGCCTTGAAGCTTGACGCATCTATTGATAAAGTCTAGTATCCTACGTAGCAGATACGTTTCTTTGTTATGCCATAGCCTCCAAACAGGGTAAACTAGCCAAGGGCCGGACGCACCCCAAATGGGTTTATTCCTTCTATCGACCTATCTAACAGCCTCCGCGGGCTTCTCTTACACTAGGACTCCTAACATAGACCGCAGCCTCACATATGACTCGCGGGAAGGAGGACAACAGCGCGCATCCGTTCAACCGCAAGACTGAAGTGCGGTGCATGGGGGGATCTCAATAATGCTTCGCCCCAGTAAGCTACGTTGTTGAGAGAAGACATTGCGCATAATCCTCACAGATGAAGATGGAGAGAATCGTGGGTTGAAGCCGCAACCACAAACTACTTGATAATGGCAAGTCGAGAAGTACCTCGTACGGAAACACCCTTCACGTGACCTAGTGACTGACAGAGTTGCCAAGGCGATGTAATGACCGTCACGCTAGTCCTCTTCAGCCGACGGCCTTTGGACTAACGCCGGTAGGGACTTGTAAATTACCTGAGGACATTGAGTCACAGATCTGGATGAGCAAAGGCACGTGACTGTCTCAGTCAGCGAGGGCCTGGATGTGGGAGGAAATTGGTCGAATGTGAAGCTGGGTTGGGACGTCCGAGAACCTACATAGAGTGTTGCTTTCGAAACAAGGCTGGTCGGTAGCCAGAAAATGGTGAGTGCAGAGGCATTCACATAACCTTCTGGGTGGGCATAGGTGAAAAGACCGGAAGCTTTCCGAGCCTTCACCTCCAATGGCAATGGCCCCGTTCGGTTAGGATTTCAGCTCCCCCCACGGGGACTCATCTGAACTTCGGAGAAAAATACTACCGGACATCTTGTAGTAGGCCGAATATCTCCGGTACTTCGTGCTTGCTCGTCCGCTTCCGAAGTAACTTTTTAATCGTCCTTTTCCTAAACTTCAATGCCAATCTTCGAGGGTAACTTTCTGGCATAATTGCATGAGAGTCCGATTTCAATGGCTTCTTCAAAGATGGTAATTCCAGAGGTCGTCTGGCGGCCCGATAACCCAGAAACAACAGAGCTGGCGAAATACAGGCATCATGTCAATGACAAGTTCAAGACGAAGTTCAGAAACACGAGAGAACTGCAGCGTTGGTCGACCACTCAGCCGCACGACTTCTGGATCGACCTGTATACTTACCTGGACCTGGTCCCTGCCCTGCCCCAGGGGACACGGAAAGCATATGACGACACAGGTTCGATGAGCAGCATCCCACGATTTTTCCCAGATCTTCGTCTGAACTATAGCGAGAACGTATTTTGCGCCGATCGTCAATCTAACGACATGGCGTTGATGGAGGTCAGAGAGGACCATTTTGTCCATCAGAATGCAGCGCGGTACGTGACATGGCAGACCTTCCGGGAGGACGTCCGAAAGACTGTAAGTGCCCTCAAGCGCAGCGGTGTCGTAGCCGGCGATCGAGTTGGTGCGATAGTTGCGACATCAGGAAGTGCTGTCACCCTGTTCTACGCAGCCGCAGCCATGGGGGCTATTTTTACCTCGATCAGCCCCGAGATTGGCGTCGAGGGTTGCGTTTCTAGACTTGACCAGGTCACGCCCAAGATACTGTTCGTCGACAGCCACGTCCTGTACAAGGGGAAGGTGTTGTCGACGGCAGAAAAACTCAAGACAATCGTTTCTCGCTTGAAGGAACGACCTGCGGTGTACGTCGTCCCGATCGCGGACTCCCCACCCGACTGGCCGAGTATCGACCAATTTTGGGGTAAAGCGAGTCCTGCCGACGAGTTGAGGTTTGAAAGAGTGCCGTTCAATCATCCCTTGATGATTTGTTACTCGTCGGGTACCACCGGAGCTCCCAAATGTATTGTCCATCAACACGGCCTGATTCTGCAGCACAAGAAAATTTCAGTCGTCCACAACAACCTGTCCTATCGAGACGTCATCTTACAGTACTCCAGCACTTCCTGGGTGGTGTTTTACACAATGTGTAGTCATCTCTCAGCGGGGGGGACCCTTCTGGTCTACAACGGCAGCCCATTATACCCTGATGCCAAACAGCTTTTCCGTATATGTGAGAAATATCGGGTCACATATCTGGGAGTCTCTCCGCGCTTATTGCTCGAGGTTGAGCTATCAAACACCATTCCCAAGCTGGAATTTGATCTCTCAAGCCTGAAAACCGTCTACTGTACTGGCGCTCCGTTGTCGGGAGAACAATACCGGTGGTTCTATCGATCCATGCCACCGACGGTACAGATATGCAATGTCGCCGGCGGGACAGAGACTGCGACATCTGTTCTGGCACTGGACACTTGCGCGCCAGTGTATGTTGGAGAGATCCAGATTGCGGCCTTGGGGATGGATGTGGACATTCTAGATCCAGACACCGGCGAATCCAAGGCTGCCAGTGGAGAGGCCGGAGAGATGGTGATTAGAAAGCCATTTCCCAGTATGCCTTGTTTCTTCTGGGGTGATGTCGGCGGTAAGATCTACAGGGCCGCCTATTTCGAGCGGTTCCCGCACATTGATTGCTGGGCTGTGCATGACTGGCTGAGTCAAAATCCGCAAACTGGTGGTTACGTTATGCATGGCAGAAGTGACGGCGTTCTGAGTACGTTGTTCTTTGATTGCGTGTCAGCTGAACTGCTTCTCTAACAGTAATTACAGACCCTTCGGGCATCCGATTTGGGAGTGGCGAGATCTATGCCATTATTGAAGCGCCTCCCTTCACGAACTACATTTCAAACAGTCTCTGTGTGGGCCGACGCAGGCGGAATGATCCAGATGAGCAGGTGTTCTTGTTCTTGGTCATGAAACCAGGTATTCTCCTCGATGACGCTCTGCGGACGCAGATAAGAACAGCCATCCGGGAAGGTCTATCGCCGCGACACGTTCCTAAATTTGTCCTTGCAGCTCCAGACATCCCAGTTACGGTAAACGGCAAGAAGGTGGAAACGCCCGTCAAGAAGATCTTGAATGGAGAGAAGGTGGTCCCGAGTTCAACGGTGCAGAACCCAGGCAGCTTGTCGTGGTTCGAGAAGTTTCGATTCGTGGAGTCCGAGCCCAGCAGTGCAAAATTGTAGCCCGCATCTATAGATCTATAGACACCTTTCCACTTCTCAGATCAAGTTTCTGCTTGGCGAAGCCTATCGATCAGCCCAGAACCGAGTTCTCGGTGAAGAACGCGTCATCGAATAACCACGCGGCATCGGTTCCGAGAGCGGCATCATTGAATAGAGGTAGATCCTCATCGTGTGTGCTACGCTGCAAGTCAACCTGGTCTGAGATTAAGGTCTGGGTTTGGGTCACCACTGGCTCCTCCCGTGGGAGAATTATGTGCGAGAGCCTTGCACTGTCCTGCGAATCTCGATTGGGATCAGAAGATGACACTGTGGGCCGAGGACTCTGAAAATGCCAAAAACGACAGAGGTCTGGACTGAAAGCCTCGAAAAAGCGGCACAAGCTGGGCGTTAGCGGCACCGGCGCGTAGTCAAGCGTAGACTGTCCCTGGACCATCTCTCTCACCCTCAAGAGTGCACACGACACTCCGTTAGCAGATTGCCATCGGTGACCTAGGTGTTCGAGTACAGCCTTGATGACGGCAAAGTCGTCTTCAGTCTTCGTGCGTAAATCGGTATAGCGGTAGCCCGTCAACCCGGTCAGACCGGCAGCAAGCGCGTAGAATGGGAAGATTGGACCAAGGTAGCGAATCTCATCCCTGGCCATTATTTCTTCCAACATCCCGGCGATGAAAGAGGCCGCCATCAGTGCCGCCGTGGACTCGGGCGTGTTAACCCTTGTACCCTTGTATAAAATCAACAAGGACACGAAATAACAGATGTGTAGTTGAAACTTTTCCAGGCTGTAAGCTGACAAGACTTTCGACGGCTGTTCGTAAGAAACTTTCAAGCTCGGTGGAAGTTGATGGATCCAGCAGAACAAAGAGTTCTCAAATGACCGTCTTCGCGCATCAGTGAGAAGTCGTCTCCGGTGCGCCTCAGCGAGGTCACCCATTTGGCGACAAATGCTGACGTAGGCAACAAAGAGGTGCGCATTAGTGTCCACGACCGGGAAGTCATTGATCGAGGGTGCTTTGACAGTCGAATCATCCAGGTTTATCGTCCGCGGACGCCCAACACCGACGGAGACTATGTTATCGCGGGTCTATGATGTTTTGTGTCAACATATAAACATAACATGGCGGGGTGTGCGCTTACCACAAGCGTCCACCATAGCCTCCTTCTGAAGCCCTTGTGAGGCTGGTCTTTAGGCTCCAGATGGAGTCCCATCTGGTGAGCGAGCTCGATACCGATCCGAGTCCAAAAACTGCTCGTGTCTGTCGAAATGGTCTCCGGCCCTGTAGGATTCCACCACTGTAATAGGCACGTTGCGACAATCGACAACAACGTGTTGCGAGGATGGCCATGAAAGAACAATGTCCGTGCTCTCGCATAGTACTCCTGAGATGAGGCATACGTCAAGGGACTATTGAGAACTCTGCTGCCCGCCAGAAAGACGGACTGCTCAAGCAACAAGGAGTCGTGGCGATGATTGGGCTCATTGACCCAGCTGAGCTCGACGATGGGTGTCCATGGATGGCATCGCTCCATAAAGGCAGAGACCAAAGCTGCTCTGACCGGCCGCGGGGGCAAATCCAGCGCATGCTGAATCTGAAGAAAATGGAGGTCAGAGTCATGCGGTGAAACATCGGGACGAGAGCGAGACGGACGACGAGTCAGGTCTTCCGTAAAGTGAATTTGGCCGCCGAGATATTCGCATCGGCCAACGTAGCTGTACTCGGTGGTCGAGGAGTCTCCAAAAACTGGGGAGGTGCGCTGATCAGAGTCATCGACGACGATAGCAATCTGCTCCGAGCCCGTGACCACAGGCAGAGACGAGCGTGGAGGGGCCATAGATTCGTTGTGGTCCGCTACCTGACCTTGCTGCGTGACATTGGCAGAGTCATCGGGGGAGTCGGTGACGGTATATCGCCTCCGTTTTCTCCGGTGCGGTCTAGCCACAGATCAATCAGTATCAGAGGGGTCCTGTCATTGGAACGGTATTCTGGGTGCCAGAAAATCAAAGCAGAAATAGCCAACCTGGCCAGAGTCTCCGCTAGCGCTTTGGTGCTTGAGAATAAGTCAGGGGTACCATAAGATCGAATGGACTTACAAGCAATCGTATTCGCCCGACCGACAATTCGTGCAGGGTTGGCCGACCTGTGTCAGGTCACATTTGACCTTTCGTTTCCGGCAAATGATACATGCTCCATTGATTTTGGAAGCCGGTGACATTTTACGAGAAATCACCAGCACGACAGCTTCGGATCAGGGGGAGGTGTGATTACCACGATAAGTAGAAATCATGGTGGTCTTCGGATCACGTTTGTTTGTTCTCGAGGTAGATTGAGCGGTCTCTTTTTTCAACCGAGAAAAGATGGGGGGAGTTTGGAATGCGGAGAGCCCTTGGCGGTGCCTGGTGGTGGAGAAGACTGCGATGAGTCTCTGAGCCGCAAGCATCTCGATCGCCCTGATCCCCCTTCCCCACGACCTGTAGAGTTCTTGAATTCCGGAGGAGGCACACGTACCAGAAAGCCATAGAATAAAATGAGAAGTGAGCGATCCCCAAGCTCGGAGTTCCTCGGTTCCCCCACAAGCCCTCTACCGGGCCTGACACCAGGATTGCTTCGTTACGTCGAGGTGCTTACTCCGAGGCTGTCCGTTACCCTCCCTTAGTTCTCCGTTCTTTGAACCTTTACCAACCTGCCTCGTACTTATAGCACACCGGTTAGTTGACAGCACTTGTCGAACCGATTGAACATGATCAATCAATTAATCCTGAACAATTGTGCCTCAAGACATGGCAGAAAGTCGACTTCAGCCTTCCTCATCAACAGCTGGGTTCTTCCAGACATTCCCAGTCCTTCCACCGCGGTATTCGGCTTCGAGTGGTCTCCCAACCGCAAGTGACTCCGAATGGAACAACCATAAGAGGCTCTCGGATGATGCAGTGTTCGCACGTATCCTGTCCATCTACCTGCCTGGTAATGCAGGGCCGGCAATGCGCTCCATCCATGACTTCTCGCGCAGGGCTATCCATCCCTCGGTTCTCAGCCACTCGGTCGACGCTGAAATCAATCAACCTGTACTCCGCCCACTCAACACGTTCGGAGATGAGAACCGATCAGACTCACTCTGGACCACTGGCGGGTGGAAAGCCCTGAAAGCAATTGGTGTTGAAGAGGGGTTGGTGTCCACCGCATATACACCCGGACCCGTTTCATGGAATCGTCGAGTGCATCAGTTTGGAAAGGTTCATGTTTGGGCGACGACTTCTGTAGTGACCCTGTGCCCTATGTCGATGACTGACGGAGCGGCGACGCTCTTGTCGAAGCATCTTAAGGACGACGATGGGGATCAGCCTGGTCGTGGGAAAGTGCTTGCCGAAGCATTCAACAGACTTACCTCGAATGAGCCAGACCGTGCTTGGACAAGCGGCCAATGGATGACGGAGCGGAGCGGCGGCAGTGATGTAAGCGGGACCGAGACCGTTGCAAGAAAGCTGACGCGGGAGGAGTTGGCCTCGGATACCGAATCCCACCGAGATTGTGATGCCAATGGAATGCCTCTTGGACCCTGGCGAGTCGACGGATTCAAATGGTTCAGTAGTGCTACCGACTCCAATATGGCCATGCTGCTGGCGCGTACGGAAAAAGGAATTAGCATGTTCTATGCGCCGACTCGGCGCAGAATTGGCTCAGGCTCAGAGTCAACAGCCTCTGAACTGAACGGCGTGCGCATTCAGCGACTGAAGAACAAGGTAGGCACGAAAGCTTTACCCACTGCTGAGCTGGAGCTCCGAGGAATGCGTGCCTGGTTGATTGGCGAAGAAGGAAAGGGAGTCAGGGAAATCGCTGGTTTGATCAATATAACAAGAATGCACAACGCCGTACGCAACGCGGGCTACTGGTCTCATGGCTTAGCTGTGTGTCGGGCATATTCCAAGGTGCGCAAGGTCCGTGGTGGTCTTTTACAGGACAATGCTCAACACCTCCGCTGGATGGCGGGAGAGACAGTGAAGTACTGGGGAGCGGTACATTTGGCCTATTTTGGCGTTGCTCTGCTAGGTGCAGACCAGCAAGGCTGGGCCACTGGAGTACAAGGAACTCATGCTCAAGCATTGATTCCAGATGATCCTGTCGCTATCACGGCGTTGCTGCGACTGCTCACACCCCTGGCCAAGGGCCAAGTGTGTCTCAAGAGTGTGTCTGGTATCCGCGCCTGCATGGAGAGCCTGGGAGGCGTTGGATATTGCGAAAATAACGAAAATGGCGGGACTTTGAACCTCGCACGGGTGTGGCGCGACTCGGCTGTCGGCAGTATATGGGAAGGAACTACTAGTGTCATGGCTGAGGATGTTGTCAGGGTCTTGATGGACAAACGCTTGGGGCATGGAAACGTTTTGGAAAATGTTCTACGGCCTTGGGTCCAGAATGTCCTCGGCCGTTGTCAAGGAATGTTTCCGGAACAATGCGCTACAGTATCTGAAAGATGGAACTTTTTTACAGCTTCGATAACCGGTGTGGACAAGGAGACCCTTCATTGGAGGGGGAGGGAGATCTTGGAGCATCTCGATGTGGTTATGGCAGCGTGTTTATTGTTGTATGACGCATCTCTGGACGCAGACGATGTAGCGATCGCGGTCGCAACAAGGTGGGTACGCACTGAGGTCTCACTGAGTCCTCGGCTCGATCGAGGGGAGAGCGATCTGCAGCAAGAGCAACACATGGACAGGAAGATCTTCCTCGGACCGGTGAAGAATGTTTCGAGTTCTGGGAGCCCGAAACTGTGAAGAACCAAGTTGAAACACCATGGCAATCTCAATTTTGGGCCATGGACAACTGGCCAAGTACTATTGTGCAGGCGGGCTGGATTGTATTGTCACGAGAACTCTCTTCTGAACTCATGGAGTTCACCCACGGAAGATTGAGTCCTCGATTTTCTCACAACAGCTCTATACGCATTGCTCCCGAGCTGGATTCAAATCTTGATGCTCGCTCACCCTTTCTCATGTCACCCGTCGATCATACTTACACGCCAGTGCCACTTTTTTGGTAACTTAGTCAACGACATATCGACTTGCCATGATAAGCATCAACTGTTCGCCTCTCTCCCCCCAATCGAGACGGGAGTAATCGCGCCTCATGTTGCCAGGGGAGGACGTTTGCGTTTGCATTATTGGTCGTACAGCCCAACGAACTTTGGCTTCTGGATCTCTAAACAGGCCTGGTCCTCTCAAAACTCGCCGAAGGGCATTCTCCAACTTGACACTGTTCTTCGGCAAACAAGCACGACTACCGGTGGGTGACCGGAGATTGTCGGCCTCATTACGTGATCAGAACAAGCCTTTCTCCGAAGCTAGGACGTGACTTGTATGCCACCAACGTGTGATAAGTGCCACTTACTGTACATTTCGGAAAGTTGTTACCACTGGAAGTGAATCTTCAGAAAGCCAAGTCCGATCTTTACCAGCTCTGCCTCGAAACGGAACCCAGAAGGGTCAAGTCCTCGCCCAGATGACAGAGGGAACAACTAGCTGGACAGGTCCAGTTCTGTATTGCTGGTTTGCTGCATTCTGGAGAAGTCCAGGTGGGTGTGTTTCTGGAAAGCTTTTATACTAACGTATGGCTTATAACTAGTGGTGTCATGCTCGTACCCGCACCTACAGCTTTGCTCTTGCTTCGGACGACAATACGGCGTCAGATCCCAGAAAGATCCTCTTATCCAATGCTACTCGAGCTCTCCAGTCCTGCTTCGGTCGAACACCGGAGCTGGGGAGGGCAATGCTCCAAGTCCAACGTTTGGCAATCTCGTCAGCCACTTCGTCCTTGTCTAAACTTGCGTCAAACAGGAGGACGACAGCGCACGTAATGGCTTCGATATGCTCCAGGATGACCCTGCCCTCATATTGCAACTGAGAACCATGCACTTCTCGACACAATTGGATCAATGCCTCTAGTCTCGTGTTGACGACGGCCGCCTCCGGCCTAAACGCTCCGCTGCTCTCGACCTGCCGCAGCACATCCCTGACCCATTTTGCGTATACGTTTTGCAAAACGTCGCCGCCTCCCAGCCTTTTGTCGTTGATCACCCGAAGAGCATCCTCGGCCATTATACTGACCGTCCCTTCCCATATAGGACCCGCATTAGCATCTCGAAAGAGCCGGCTCAGATTCATGGTCCCACCATCTTCGTAATTTTCGCAGTATCCCACTCCGCCTAAACTCTCCATGCACTCTCGGACACCCAGGACCGATTCGAGAGAGGTTCGTGCTTTGAAGACTGGCGTGAGGAACCGCAGAAGAGCTTCCACATCCGTAGCTTGCGGTGGGAATAGGCCCTGTGCCCTGGTGTTCTGCATGATTGAGGGTTGCTCGGTGGCACCAAGCAAGGCGACTTGAAAGAAGCATGCATGCATGTGAGCCCAGTACTTGACTGTCTCACCAGCCATCCAACGAAGATGGGCGGCATTGTCCTGAAGCAACCCGTGGGCAATGGACCGGGTCCGGGTGAACGCCCGGCTAACGGACAGGGATCCTGCCCAATAACCTACGCCACCAGTTGCAGTGTACAGCCGAGTCAAGTTCAAGATAACAGCGATTTCTTTGACGCCTTTACCTTCCTGCCCGATCAGCCAGCCACGCATGCCCTTAAGCTCAAGTTCGGCAGTCGGTAGACCTCTAGTACCGAGCTTGTTTTTCAGTCTCTGGATTCGGACGCCGTTAAGCTCGTTCTGGCTGAGCGTCGAACCTCCGGAGCTACGACGTATCGGTGCATAGAAACAGCTCAGGCCTTTGTCGGTCTGGGCGAGGAGTAACGCCATGTCGGAATCCGTGGCGCTGCTGAACCATTTGAACCCGTCAATCTTCCATGGCCCCAAGGGCATCCCATGAGCATCGAGGTGGCGGCCATTTCTGTTGTCCGCCTCTAGTTCGGTAGGGCCGAGTCTTGAAGCCACGCTTTCGGTGTCTCTAACATTGCTTCCCCCGGTCCGTTCTGTCATCCATTGCCCTGATGTCCAAGCGTAGGTGGGGTCGGAGGAGATGAGGCGGCTATACACTTCAGCCAGGGTTCTTCGAAGGCCTGGCTGACTCCCATCCTCGTCTTGGAGATGGCGCTGGACGAGTTTGGCGGCGCCGTCAGTCATTGACGCTGGGCATGTGACCAGGGCATCGTGGCCAACCCACACGTGCCCCAATCCAAACTGGTGCACTCGCCGATTCCACGTGGTTGGCCTTTCATCACTTGGCGACTGGTAGCCTCGGGTGACCATCCCGTTCGAGACACCAATCTCTTTCAAGCGTCGCCATCCTTCTCCTGTCCACAGTGGATCGACCTTGTTGATCTCACCAAACGTGTTGAGCGGGATCAATCTCGGCGGATTGGTCTCACAATCGACGGTGAGTCGGCGGGTCGAGGGATGAATAGCTGTGGAACTGAGCTCGTCAATTGACGAGAAAACCTCATCCTGCGCGTCCCTGGGTATGTAAAGCCGGAGGATTCTCTCAAACACTACATCGTCAGAGGCTTTCGAAGCCGATCCAATCTCCTTGAAATACGTAAATAGTTGCGGAACGACAGGGAGCTTGTGGAAATATCCCTCTGTAGAGGACGATGCGGCGCGTCTCGCCATTTTGAGCAAGATATTGTGGTTCGTAGCTCTAGCTCAGAGACATGGAAGAAGCCAAAAATGTCACCAGGGAGAGAAACTAGCTGCGAGACCGTTCTATATATGCCATTGTTGGACAGCTACAGCCCCTGGTAGATGGGAGCGAGGTGGTGACTCGGCGAAATGGCGCTTGGCAGTGTTGACGGCGGTACATTCCCCGCAAAATGAGGATGCGGAGGTTATCGGAAGTACTCGTACTGTATGTCCTCCGTAGTATACGAAATAACGTGCTTGCCCACTGTTCATCAGTATCAAAGTCAGATAGGACTGATGAGGAGAGGATAACCCTGGTCCCAGCGTTCTCGATGGCATGGATGCTTTCACATCTAACCACCAGCGTTCCTCAGTACGTGTTCCCAGATCGTCATAAAGACTCCAAGTGGAAAATGTAGCCGACTGTCTTGTCCTTTCCGAGTGTCGACTGACATGAGGGAGTGCGTAGGGTGGTAATCTTGTCGACTGACCAGAGATTTGGCCACCATCGATTTTACTCAAGGATTGTGCTAGTCCGTGATAACTTGTCCTCAGATACATGACTTTAGGGCTGGGACTACGATGACGCTCGGAGATACTTTTTCCCGACTGCCACTGTGGCTTGCGTGATCTGACGTGCCTATAAGCGGAGAGTCCATTGTTCTTGTCTCAGCTTCTCAGACCCCTGGCTCGGCGCTTGCGCTTGGCAATACCGATTCTGGAAATGAGACAACATCTTTTGCGAACGAGTAGCCACTGAGCAGCTTGTCAAACAACACCCTTACATTCCACAAACAAGCCCCACAGATCCTTTTGGGTTGGCCTTAAACCTTGATAGACTCAATTCAACAGCAGCCATGGATGCTGCGGAGAAGTCAGACATTGTCGAAAAATCAGATAAAGTAAGAACGCCAAAACACCCATTGCGCTCCGCGAAAAGGAGCGCCGGTAGGGCTCGGCTTGATGAGCCTGGCGCAGCAGTTCTATCAGCGGTAAGGACACTAATGATCATTACCCTTTTGCCATGGTGCAATCTGATGTCTAGCACAGGATCGTCGGAACAGCTTCGACGTGCTCAGCAAACGTACCGACAGAAGAAAGAATCTCTCCTTCAAAGCACGAGAGCACGTGTAACTGAGCTTGAATCCCAGATTGACAAGGTTGCAGAAGCCCTTGATGCCGTTCAAGATATCATCCACAAATCAGAGCTCAGCACAACCCATTCGACCCTCGTGACGCACGTGAACAAAATCGAAAATCTTCTCGCTCATCGCTCTCAGCGTTCGAGGTCCTTGAACATATCCCAAAGCTCGATAAATCATGCCAATGATGAGAGTGATGCACTGTCGGTATCATCACTGGACTCTGTATTTGGCTACCGACTTGGAGCCGGACCAACCCACGGACATTCAAATGGGTCCGTCGAGATACTGGGCAAGCAAAGCCATAAGGCACGATCCCATTCAGCTCAAAAATCATGCCTCGTGAACGAGCAAGTGGTAGAAACGCCCTGTACTTTTCCGCTTCAGCAAGCCATTCCTCCCGCACTTGGATCAAATACAAAGTATAGCTATTGCTTTCAGGAAAGAACCTTCTCCCGACGGTTACAGCGCTTTTGCCTGGAACACACATTCCAGATGTTTGAGGATCCAAGGTCCGATCCAACCGCAGTTTATCGCATGTTCAGATTGGTTCCCTGCATACAGGACAAGGCAAAGATGTCCCCTTACTTTCGGAGGCTCCTTGACGGTGGGATCAACGACCCCCTGGAGATTCGTTCTCTTCCATTTTATGGCATTGGCGGCGCAGGAACACATTTTCCAACTATCGATAAATCGGGAAACCCCGTGTCACCCTCAAATACGAGACTTCCCCGACGAGTGCTGGGCATTCTGCCAGTCGCTGAACCCGAGGACGGCAACACATCAGGCCAGGATCGTGAGAGGTATCTCGAAATTTTGGTTATGGTGGTCAGTGGTTTGATTGTAGGGACGTCGAGGGCTATCTGAAAGACAAAGGCGTTGATCTAGATATGTCTTCTTTATATCCAGCGTTGAACAACACCAGCACACAGACCCCCGCGCCCTACCAGCAGGTGCATACACTATCCGGAATGGATAGTAGCGCAAAGACTCCTCAACCGGGAGGGTCTGTCCCCGACCTTATACTTTCGACTCCTACACCTTGCCATGCTAGTGATGAATTCCACATCTCAGACACCACCGTGTTTGGACACCCAGACCCTCAGACCGGTACAGTATCCCTTCCATGACATGCACACCATTGGACTGGATGACTGGAAATGGGCTGACAGATGATAGATTACTTTGATAATTGTACATTCCAGCGAGGTCCTCGTTACAGCCTTGATGTCCAGAAATGCTTCAACCGTGAGTAGCCCGACGGTGGCCCGCTCGACGAAGCTCCCTCTACGTGTTCTGACTATGACTAGAATTGCTCTCCGGATTGGTCCTCCTAGGTCGTGCACCAGGATTCAGACGGACTGAGGTTGAGGCTGCATTCGAGGCTTCCTTGATGCCACGAATTTTATTCCGTTGAGACGGTAACTTCTTGTGCTATAGAGACCCGATGGCGCCAGGATGTATGACAATCTCGAGAATTTCTTCACGTTGATTACCCCATGTCTTGTTCTCTTTATTTGAACTGGGAAATCCCGCTCATCGTTCCAAAGGCGCTTTTCAAAGCATGGCTTCAAGCCGCAGAAAGACGACCCTTCTGACTCTCCATTTGGGTAGATCAACTTTCTCTTTGGCGGCGGGCGATGGCGATTGAATGTATCTACAACTTGGTCTCCTTCTGCTTTTCGATCTGTTTTGCCTGCGGTGAGGTGTTGATCGCCTTCCCCCAAGGCCAACCTGTGGGCGAATCCTGCTCCATGGTGCCCTTGAACTCTGGACGCCGCTTTTGCGAAAAGCTCTTTGTTCCCTCCTCGCTGTCCTTGGAGAGCAGCATTCCAAGGAAAATCTTCGAATCCAACAAGTGGGCCTCTTCCGGTGTTGGCGGTCCTCTATACATTAGATCGTGCATCACCGTCGTGCTCACGATAGATGAGTGTGTTGCAATTTCTTTGGCAATTTGAAGTCCCCGAGAAACAGTGGCTTCTGGTGTTGCCAATACCTCAGAGAAGAGCTGATTGAGAAGTGGGTCAGACGCTCCATGTGTTGCGCCGGCTGACACTAGATGTAAGGCTCGCGACATGCCAACCAGCCTCGGCAGGAAATACGAACTGCATGCCTCCATAGAGAGACCCCACCGCGCAAAGGCAAAGCTGATTTGCGACTTTGCATAAGCAACCCTGATGGTGGCAGGGAGAGTCATCGTTGTTCCGAACCCTACCGCCGGCCCATTGATAGCTACGACCGTTGGCTGGCTTGCGGCAGTTATGGATTGCTAGCGTGACACGGCCACCTCTAAAACCAACTTAGCTATATGTCTCAAAGTACTTCGGTCTGGGATATTCGCTTACCCATCTCTGTAAGTTCCGATGGATGAAGGGTCTTGTTTCAGATTCTTGACAAGTTTGGAAAAGCCGACCTCAAGATCCGCGCCCACACAGAACGATGGCCCAGCGCCCGTTATCACGATTGCTTTGACACGATCATCGGCGTCAAAATACCGATGTGCAGTAATAATCTCCTCGAGCATACTCTCTGTCACTGCATTGAATCTTTTCGGACGATTCAAGATTAGAAGAATGACTTCAGTGGTGGTTGGACAAGTCGCAGGGACATTAGAGATCACAATCTCCTTGAACAGGAGGGAAGAGCAGGTCTCGGGAAATAACTTGGGGTTTGCCATATCGTCACAGGAATACAAGTCAGCAAGCTATCTGCTCTAGGCTTGCAATCCAGGAAATACATGGCAAAGACGGGAAGCATTTACTATTTATCACAAAGTATTCGAGATACGAAGGTCTTAGATGCCGAGATATTATAATCGAGATAATACGACCGAGCAGATATTCTAATCCACGCCGAGAGAGGCACATCAATGTGGATCAATTCAGATTGTGCACATAAACATCCACACACCGGCATAATATATATAACATATGCTTGAAAGCCACACATCAATCTATAAGAGAAAACTACGCACCCGCGAGGCCTGACCTCAATCTGCAACTTTACCACTACAACGGCATCTTTCCATGGTGAAATGGCATTCCACTACACGTTGGGGGTTTCCATGCCGCTGATCGCCGGCTACCTGTGTTATGTCAGGTATCACAGGTACAAGCGTGAGAGGCTCCTATCTCGGCCATTTGGCCCCAGCGGACGGCCGCTTTCCTCTATGACGCTCGATGAAGCGTACGCCATAATCGACCAGCTTCAGACCCTGGAATTTCCAACAGCGTTCGACAAGGCCCGGGCTTACGCTTTACTAAAGGTGTCTTTTTTCAGTCCTGCCACCGTGATCGCGTCCACCATTGCATACTGACATGGGGTATCGTAGACGGGTGGGATCCCGACAATGACAAAACTCTTCATGGCGACCGGCCAAAACAACCCCAAGAATGCCACGAAGCGCGCGGTCGACACCAACATTCTCCTTTTGGAAACTCAAACCAATCCAGTGACGTCGGATCGCCATTTCCAAGCGATTGCCCGAATCAACTATCTTCACGCCCGCTACCGTGCTACGGGGAAGATACTCGACGAAGACATGCTACATACCCTAGGTGATGGGCTCGCCGAGATCGTCCGGTGGGTCAACGACTATGAATGGCGAAGACTGAATGACGTGGAAGTTTGTGCCCTGGGTGTCTGGCATATGGCGCTCGGGGAGGCGATGGAAATCCCGTACACGATGCTGCCTTCGTGCGAGGAAGGATGGGAGAATGGTCTGCATTTCGCGCGAGAAATGATGGCTTGGACTCTCGCCTATGAGGCAAAGGTCGCAATCAACACCCCCAACAACTCGGCGTTTGTGAACAACTATTTTGAGACCAAGGCCGGCAAGCTTCCCTCGGTCGTGAAACCATTGATCAAGCAGATGCTTGCGGTAGACATTGACCCAACAATGCGACGAAGCATGGGGTGAGTGGCCTCATTCTACTTTTTTCTGGAATTCTGATCTGGTGGTGCTCATCAAAGTCAAGATTGCCGGTGCCGAATCTTCTCATTGCGTCTTACATGCGGTCCTTCAGCACGCTTCGCCGCTTTTTCCTGAGATATCTCAGCCTACCGAGGGCTCCGTCAAAAGTGCACAGGCGTCTCGCCGAGAAACCCCACCCTGGTACCAAGTTGTACAATTTCGGCACCGATTTTTGGAGCCATGGTATCTCAGAGCTTCCCACCCGCCCCAAACGGACCCGAAGAAATTCCGCGCTGAAGGATATGACATTGGCAACGTTGGTCCAGTGGCTCAAGAAGGCAAAGGCATGAAGGAAATGGACATCACAATAGACCTCCTACGCCAATCTGATAGAGGAGTGTGCCCATTTTCAAGAGGAGCTGGTGGCAAGAGCTAGAGGAAACGACGGGACGATAGTTGTACGCGGGGACAGTAGAGCCTTACTTCGAGCGAGTCCTCTTCAAAGATGAGCACATATATTCTCGACGAAAGAAAACTGACGTGTCTTCCCCTCCGTTAAAAATGTCATTCATTCTATTTTAAGTAAGTTAGGGAGAACTATTGAGATCCAAGTAGCCCAATCTTCTTCTATGTGTGACTCTTCTAACTAAGGTAATTCATGCCGTGGAGTCTTTTCGGACTTTGGAGACAAGGGAGGAATTTGGCACATTCAAAATCGCCAAGGCAAGAGGTAGCTACAACCGGCTCGGCTTCGTACGGAACATGGGAGCTTCCATGTCCTTGATGAGCGAGGAGGAGATCCTGGCGCCCGACCGCTCGTTGACCTAGGTTGATCCAGCTTTGATATTATAATCAAACCACCGAGCCGAATTTCTTGGCGTTCTGAATGGTTACCATCGAAGTAACTCACACCAGTCCCTTGAGCCTGAAATTCCTGTTGTTAAAAATGGCTGTGGTAGGGATCTTCTATCTGTGACCGTCAGTAGGATATTGGATGTACGGCCCTGCTATAATTTCGCCTTCGCAGAAACCATCATCACTTCGGCAGATGCATATATTTCGCCAGTACCGCCTTCGACCTGAGCGTGGGCCCAAGTTTTTCTACCCTCGACCTTGGTGACCCAAGAACGGGTCATGATAGTCATCGGAGGTCGTAAAGCTTTTTTGTAGGTTACATTCAGAGTAACCATGTATGATGGGATCGTGTTGGGCAGCTCAGTTCGCACGAGAGCCTCTACCACATTGTCTAGTATTGTGGCGGTGGCTCCTCCGTGAAATATGTTGGGGTGCTCGTTCAAACCGGTACACACAGGGAAGAATCCACGCATTTCACCCGTCTGGCCTTTCTCCTCACATAGTGGTCGGTACAGCATAAGCATGTACGGTATCGTAATTGTCCATGTGCCATGTCTCGCCAAAAAGAGTGTGCGCGTTGTCTGGTCGGGCAGATCGTTCTTGGTGGAGAGGCTGGAAAAGCTTTATCGGACAGGTGCACTCGACACCATGGTATTGAGAGAAAATGATCGAGTGCCAAGTCGGTGGTCATACTGGATGAAGGAAATATGCAACATTGAGCCGGGAAATGATTCTATCCCCCCTCCAGGGGCTTTTTTTGAACTCGGATTACTTGTGAGATATATCACAAATTGCTTAGCTTTCAAACCTCGGTTCATCCCTGTCAATTTCAAGGAGTTCCTAGGATCAGCCACGAGCACGATCATCTCGGTACTACCACATTCTCCGCAGATCTGGGAACACACCGTTTTGGGTACTAGTCCAAGTGTTGAACAGCCCCTCGGAGGCATCACAACTCCAGAAAACTCCGTCGGACGTGGTCTTTGCAAAGACCGTTGTGAAACCAACTCTGTAAAGACTGAGTACGATGGTCTAGCTTCAGTCACTTCTTTTTATGCTCTTCTATTACTTATTTTTGAAACACACTGCGGATTATTGTCACGCATTGCCAACTTGTGCGACTATCAACGGAGCCTCCACAGCTTGTATATATGTGGACTGATCAGATGCGTCGGATAGAGACTTATTCAATGAGGACACTACACTGTAGCCTTTCCGACGTAGAGGCTGTGTAGTAGTGTAGCTAGCAACGCAGAAGAAAGGGGACAATACTCTTCGCTGCCTATATGTGTGTGGCCGACAATGCCAGCCAACGTCCAAGGCTCCAGATTGGAACAGATCACGTGACCGAGGTATCGGAAAAGCCAGCTGTGTAGATTACCTCTTTGGGCGAAAATCGTGACTTGTTTAAGGGTTCTCAGCGGCACAAACAGCGTCCAGCCCATAGTAGATGCTCGGTACGCCTGGTGAGCGACACTGGCCACCAAACTCGAATTGGACACACAGTGACGCTCTTGCAAGACCTTCTTTGTGTTGATGAAAATCCAAGATGCAGGTACGGTGATGATCATAACTTGACGTAAAGTGTACTTGCAATGAACGACGCCTGCATTCCGCGTTGAGGCGGTATATATACTATTACTAGTCGCCAATGCTTCACCACTGAAGTAGTACCTTGTCATCATGCGAGTTCAGGTCGACCAGTCCTCCTGAGGCTCAGGCGTATCGCTAGTTTGGCAAATCTCATTTGTAGATGCCAGTAGCCTCAGGCGATGAGGGAACCCAAATTCGAGCAAGTACTACCCTAAAGCGCCGTCCTCCTCCAGAACAAGCAACCAGCATCCTGTTGGGGGTATCATGATAAGGTAGAGAGTCTCTCCTCTCCTTTTGAATTTTGACTTTCCATCCTTCGAATACTAGTGTTTAAAAAAGCTCCTGTTGACACAGTATAGCATCTCCGTATTCCTGACCTGTTCAATCGGCTCCGAGATGTGGGTGTGCTTTCTCGTCGTTATCAAAAACCTCAATGTTCTGGCGGTAGAGCTTCTGCGGCACCCAGAGCAAGAAATCATAGGACTTTGCACCAATCACACAGAGCACTGTTGCGCAGAACTGCCAGGTAATAACCAAAAACACCCCGATCCCCCAGGGCACAAGGAATTTGATGAATTCTGTACTCTGATACAGGTCGTTCTGCGACTGAATGTAGTACTTGACTTCGTCGCTGTCGACGTCGGTCTCTTTGCGAAAATTGACACTGGCAGAGCCTGGCGCGTCTCTCTCATTGTCGAGTTCGGTCATGGTGATGGCCTCTTTAGGTTCAGGCGGTACTGGACTAGGATCGGTGGTCAACTGGAGGACAGTGACGAGTTTGACTGGAGCATTGTAGAAAGGGACCACCCAGAGCTTAAAGTTCTGATGAATAGAGACATATAGACGCAGGTGTCTTTCGTCGTATGCTGGGCCTCATTAGTACAGCTCTAAAAAGATGTTGCTATGTTGTAGGCGTCACGTACCAACTCCGTCAACGGCAACATCAATGTGGGGACTGAGGATTTTGTACCAGCGATAAATCATTATTATGAGCCATATTGAGCCAGGAAAGCTCCCCGTTCGACAAAAAGGGTGTGTGAAGGATGCGGTCGGTGTGAAGTAGGTTTCAATTGCTGCTCTTTGAATAGCCGGTGGAGCTGTACAGAGTGTCTCAATGATACGAGGGATATCTGCCACTGTATTCACGAACATTTAGCTAGCTTTTCGAGGCATTGTTTAATGGTTGATCAGACTGCCATACCCGGATCATCCATGATAGCGGCGTTGAACTGCAGTGGAATGGGAAGAGCTCTCGTTATTGTTGACAAGGACTTATTTTAGGTCGGGTTGGGAAAATGGTTCGACAAATTTGAAGTCACTACATAGGGTTTGACGTGTTAATATCCCGAAATGATGCATTAGTAGTACGAGAAGTACTTAATTAACCAGGAAGGAACGTGGATGGGTCGGCAGGCTCGAGGGAAATTCTGGAACCCCTGACGTCATTCTATCATACAGAACCACCTTTACTCCCAGAAGGCCTCCATTTGGTGTCCCACCAGGGTTACCTGCTCATCCGAGTTTTCAGACTGCAGGGTTAAACTAGGAATATTAGGACTAGGTACTAGTATTTATCAACAGATGGGAATACTCAAGCATGGCAACGTCAAGTGTCTCAAGAACTAGAAGTTGTAGCAAGGTTAAACCGTCCACCTTGAAGTCTTTTACTACGACGCGCGCATTGGTTTATGTTGTAGAACCCAAAGATAAAGTCTAGCACTAGTGCTGATAGTGGCCATCTTTGCCAAATCCAAACCCATTCCTCAGTTTGTCTTCTTGCTGCACAATACTGGCAGGCAAGTTCTTCCCAATCCCGAAGAACACGAAAAGCGCCCACTTCCATCGAAAGGGGTTGATCAGCGTGATGAAGCAGAACCAGTAGAGCAGCTCAGAGTAAGTGAAGAAGTCGAATGCTTTGGTTGGAGCTAGCGACTTGATCGTACTGGTAAAGTCCACCCATCGCTTCATCCACCAAGTCCGGGGAGTTGTCAGAGGGTCGACTAGAAACATCAGCAGCATTCGTGTGTAGATTCCAATATGATAATTGCCGACGGTTCTGGGAGGACGAGTTAGCTTCTTTGCCACCGTGACAGATCAGACCTCACTTACCCGATGGCCGAAACATAGGTCGAATTAATCGCACAAATTGAAGGAGCCGTCGGAGGAAAGCATTGTATGAACCATCGTGGAGGTTGGTAGCCATCAGCAAAGACATCGTCAGGCAAAAAGTCAAGACTTGGACGCTTGTAGCCGGTCGCCATGATGATCATATCTCCCTCAACCAGTTTATGTCGCCCGGGTCCTCCTTTGGGAACACCCTTTGCCCTTTGGTTGAAAAAGATACCATTTTCGCGGACCTCCTCAATATCCCCTCGTAGCCAAGCTGCTTTGCCGGCACGAATCTGCTTGAAGATCTCCGAATTTACCATGGGTGTCTCGGTGAAAAGACCTTGATCTGCTGGTGCTATATCTCTGAGGTCGCGGTAGAAAAAGATGCGCAGCAGATTCTCGGGAATCCACGAGAACAGTGTCTCCTGACCGAAAATGTTGAAGGCAAGAAGTGCATCCACCAGGGCATTCCTCGGGATGATCCACTTGTCAGATCTTGCCAGCACTTTGATTTCCGCAGCTCCTGTGTTGACAGCCCACTCCAATGCTTCGACAGCACTCGCGCCGCCTCCAACAATGAGGATACTCTTTCCCTGTGCGTCTTTGCCGTCGAGGGCCGAGGAGTGAATAATGTCTCCTTTGAAGGTCTCTTGGCCAGGCAGGTGAGCCATTTTTGGAGCACCGCATGTTCCAATTGCCGGTATGATTCCATCGAAACGTCCATTCGCAGGATTGTTGACGATCCAGCGGCCTCCCTTGTCTTTGTAAACTTTCTCGACCTTTGTATTGAAAATCGTCCTTTGGTTGAGTTCATATCTGTACCACAACTGCCGGACTTGATCGACGATTTGCTGTTGCTGGGGATATCCTCCAGTCCATTGAACGGAAGGATGAAATCGATACATGACACTGTGGATTTGGAGACCAGAAGTCGTGTTTACGTGCGTCCATATCCCGCCCACATGCTTTTCGTCTTCGGCTTCAAATATAGTTACTTCAAATCCATGGCCAACACAGTGAGCCGCTGCGGAGACACCGGTGAGACCGGCACCAATAACCGCAATTTTAGGACGACGGAGGTGTGCATTCGGAGGTGGTGGGTGTGGTGAGAATATCTTATCGAGAACCCATTGAAGTATGGCGTAGAGCCAGAATAGAGGACTGAAGGCCATGGTTAGTGAGAGCCGTTCGGGACGATGTCTTGTTGCGGATCGGGGACGAGGACGATAAGTAGAAGAGAGGATGGATTTCTTGAGATATAATGAAACCGTTCGCCATGCAAGTGAGTAAATATTACAGCTGCGGACGTCATTATGCAGGTACCGTTGATGCCGTTCACAGTTTTGTTGTATTCTTTCCTCAGTTCCGGACTAGACCCACTGTAATATGTCATTGGTGGCTCCTGCGGAAGGCCGAAGCATGTGAAAATCATCCTCCTCAAGGAACAACGACTGAGTGTATCGTGGCTTGGCAATCTACAAGGCTGAGCTAGATCTGCCGCTGCTGAGCATCTGCAGTCCTGGGTGAACGCCAGCGACGGCATTGTGGTGAAAAGAGACGTCGGTTGGGATGCCAAACGATTGACAGAGAGACCTTGTCAACTCGTGCTTTCCTGTTGCCTTGCGAAGTGGTCATGTACTGTAGCATCAGAAAGTCTTGCTATGACGGAAACGTGCTCTATTTTGAGCGACTTGTGTGAGAGTTCTTCCAGGAAGTCAATCTATTCACCCTCAGAGTACCACCTGGAAAGGGTTGCCGTCAAAAAAAGGAAGAGGCAATGGGCGGTCGAACAACCCATAGTTGCGGTTGGAGGGCATTAATGGGCCGTTGAAAGTAGTTTGCGTGGGAGAAGAAACTAAGACAGTGGTCTGTTCGGGTATTACGATCGTAGTGGTGGCGAAACATGCTGTGGTGTACGAAGCAACACCGCCCACCAAGAGCAGACCAAGAATGAGACGCATCATTTTCGTGGAAGTGAGATCTCAAGTGTCTGATACAGGGGAAAATAGTTGAAGCCGGTGTGAAGGAACGTTAGGAAGGCGTTGCATATCGTTTGTACAAGCGCGTCACCTGCTGGCCGAGTGCCTCGATCCACAGTATGATGCACAGACTTCGGTGTCTGAGGGAGACGCTGTCGTGTGCGGATGTTCTGATCTCTGTACAGGGTCGTCGGCCAGGACTGTCGATGGAAGAGTCGAATCGCTTGTCATTGGTCCTCGTGGACGACGACACCTACATATGTACCTGTCTGAGAAGCCCGTGTCTTTCTTGGGTTGAGGGCCGCTCTGAATCGGTAAATATGGCGCGTCAGCTGTTGAAGGATTCAGGCCGGGATTATCTATACTTGAATATTGGGTCGGGGTGCGTGGAGAGTGGCGGTGCTGTCGAAAACATCATCGTGGAGGTAAAGCAGGTTTCTTGTTTGTGGGCAGAACAACCAAGATGTTTTGGTACCGCTATTCGAGAGAGGACACGGGCCCACTAAGAGCCGATCCAGGTGGTAGGTACCTGACAGCTTGGCTGAAGCACAGCCCAGCTTGCGTGTTTCAGGCGCTTGGGTTCACTTTATTTAGTGGGGAACCCCCAATCGGCCGTGCCCCATAAGAAAGGAAGGCTGGCCCTCTCAACTCAAGTTCACACGCCAGATTCACGACCACGACGAGCCTCAACCGCTCCTGACTGTTTTCAAGCCTTTCCAGCTATTTCTAACTGCAGCAACTGCTCAAACAACTGAAAGGTACATATCTCACATCGCGTAACCTTTCGAAATTAACATTGATCTAGTCTCCAACCTTACCCCCGTCACACCGCAATGCCTCCGTCTACTTCCTCTACCTCCAGCATTAAGAAAGGCGTCAAGGGACCTACGAAACCGTGCATCCCCTGCGACTGTGGCGACTTTGAGTGCTCTTGTTGCATTATTCCATGTACCATTCAATAAAAACAAGCCGTAAAAAGCACTGAGGAACGGTAGAGAGCGTGTGGACTGGGCAGAAAGCATTGGCAAGCTGGAAGGGAGTGAAGGAATGAGGAAAATCAGGGTTGCTTGATGGAGAGACTGAGACCACACACAAGAAGACAAGGAATCGCTGCTAAATTACGCCTTCATTGAGTTACCTGCCCCAACGGTAACAAATGGAACGAGGACTACAACTTACGAACGAGACGACACAAAGAGCATTTGGATTAGCAATACGTATTTCTTCACAAACACCATACTAAGGTGGCTCTGCTGTTTCGACATTCTCCCTTGTCCTCCCTGGTGCCGATTCTGTCAAGAGATATGCCTGGGATTCGTCATCAGAATGGTCACTCAACGAAAACTCGTCGGCCAGCTGTTGTTCCAAATCTCTGGGCCTAGCTTTGGCTGCCTTCGCCGCTCTCGCCACAGCATAATCTGCCCTGTTCGGGTAGGGCTCGTCGCATTTGGGATGTCGGAGCGGACGAAAGTATCGTCGATACGTAACATAGGCTACTGCCATGCCCAAGAGACTGCCACAAGTAACATCATAGACATCGTGTCTGTAATCGGCCAATCGTGACATCGCAATCAGTGCGGCCCCAGACAACGGAGCTAGAAAGATCAAGATTCTGAACAGATCTGCATGCGGTCGAAAGACATGTAGTTTGCCTGCCAGGAACAAAGCCAAGTATCCGAGTCCAGCGAATGCCCAGCTACTGTGGCCACTTGGAAAACTGCGCCACCCGTCGTGGAGTGTATGAGGATTCGTCTCAGTGCACACTGCGACACCGACAAGCTCGTGCTCGGGTGTGCCCGCTTCTGGCTTGCAGCGAGCAATCAGATCTGGACGTGGACGGCCGATGGCGTTCTTGACGATGTCCGTCAGTAGCGCGGTGAGGAAGAGACTAATGAGGAGTCCAAGGATCGTGACGTGTGCATGATGGAGTCCTGGTCGCATAACAACCGCCCAGATGACGAGAAGGACGAGCGGCCCGACACCAGCAAGCAGGATGTTCTCTCCAGGAGAAACCCGTTCGATCAGCGCGTGTGGGTACTGTTTCGCTTGATTGTCAAGACGGAA